TAATTTTGATACTGACTTTGTTGAACAGGTTATTAAAAAATATAATAGATACAGTACAATAAAAAACAGTATTATATTATGAACATCAGCAGAACTGAACTATTTAAAGTGAATATGTGTTTATGATCAAACCTGAACGGAGATCTACCTGCAGAGTTTCCACTCAGTCTCATATTAAGGCAGGTTTATTAAATATTACAGTATATTCACATTTATATTAATTTTAACCATGATAAGAGACAGTTTCACTGTTTAAACTTACGTAATATGTGACTAAAATGACATTAGCCAGTATAATACCTGAGCATCTATTAATTCAGCAGAAAATTAAATATTTCAACACTTTTGATTCATTATACTTTTGATTACATTAAAAGACCTTAAATTAAGACCATCTGTAAACATGTTTTTGATAATATGAAGAAATAAAAGTTAAGTTGTTTATTGTTACTGTCAATTAAGAGACCATTCATAAAGTTACAAACTACATGCTTTTAAAAGTGGGACACAAATATTCATCATGTCCTTTTATCCGGTTTAATTTGACCGTAGGAGAATAAAAGAAGCAGTTCTTCACGTCAGTCTGTAAACATGTTCAGCAGCAGAAGGAAAACAGATGTTAGACAGCTGTGTTTCCTGTAGCAGAGCTGTAAAATGTGATGATCAAACCGAAGCAGCTGACCTGTAACAACAACCGTCTTCCCCTGCAGCTTCACCTGGCTGCAGCATCTCGCTGCTTTCAGCACGAAGTAATAAAGAAACACATAAAACAAGACGAACCCTGCTGTCAGGTACACAAACATCGTCATTATTTCTGCGTAAATAGTACTTATTTTCCCCTTTCTTCTTCTGTTGAAGTGTAATGGCGGTAATCAAACGCATATCGAGCGCTCTACCGCCACCTGCTGGACTGGAGGGTGGATTTAGAGAATTGTCAGGAAAAAAATTGCAGATTTGACTAAATAAGACAACAGCTTTTAAAAATCAGTGTTGCATAAAGCAGTGGTTCTCAAACTTTTTGTCTTCTGACCCACAAAATATCCATGGCAAAAACTTGTGACCCCAAAAATTACTGGTCTGAGTACACAAGCTTCGTTAATAACCCTAAAAACACAGGATTTTTGACAATCTAAAGAGC